ATCGCCACAGCAAAAAATCACGGCAGTTGGGTCGCCACAGCAAAAAATCGCCAGTGAAGGATCTGAATAAGAGGGAGACGATCAGACGAGTGGAAAAAGAAAGGGGAGATAGTGGAGTGAGGAAGGAAGGAAGAGAACGAGAGCAGAGAGAGAGTTGGAGTGAGGAAGGAAGAGAACGTATTTTCATTTTCTAATTTTTGAAAACCATTTTTCAAAACGTCAAAAAGAACACATTTTCAAAAATCTCAAAATGGACACTCAAAACACAAAACAAAAAATGAATTCAAAACTGAAAACACAAAACTCAAATACAAAGAGAACAGCACCTTAATGATTCCATTTTCAAAATACTCATTGGTACTCAATTCGAGTCTATTTTTTTTAGAATCTCACTGAATTGAATCACACTCGCGGCGCTGAATCAATAGCTTAGCATTTCCAATTGAAGGTTAAGAGATATCAGTTGACAAAAAACACTATTACAAATTCCATTGCGGAATGTACTTCGAGGTGCTACTCAGGAACCGAGGGACCTACTCAAGCACATAATGGCTAATTGAGAGATAGAGCTAGCATATTCGTTAAAGGGAAACAATGTTCCGGGCCTAATAGAGCTTAGACATCAAACCAATGGACATTTGAATATGATCAGTACGTAGATAGTGTCGCTATTTACAACTCAGGGGCTGTTGACATTTATGGCAACGTCAAAATGTGAGTTAAGAAGTAAATCAGACAGATGACTTGATACTTTTAAGGAAAAATTATTTAGTTTGAAAGTAACTCTTATCTTAATGTCAAAATAAGTTACTTATTTCAAATTTAACCAATATAAGAAGTGTGCATAAAATGGAAAATTTGGGTTGGGCTCTGCAACCTTTCACATGGCATGGTTATGGGTCCCAAAACTTGAAAAGTGAGATTTTGAATCCTCAATCTATTAAAATTTGTGAATTTGGTCCTCACATGACACAAATCATCAATTTGTACGTTAAAATTTCACACAAGTGAGCCTTATCCTTGAATTTGCATATTTAGTACAATACGTTAATGTAAAATAAAATTACTAAACCCATTTTCCGTAGACATCTTCTGTTAGCTATTTTAAGTCAACTGTTTTGTTAATATTGCCAAACTAATCCTTGTAAATTCAGTTCTTTGTGTGAAGTTCTCAAATTACTAACTCATGCAAATGAAGTGCCTATCTATACAAGTTCTTTAACTATAATTATTCAATATCTAATTTCTCCAAAATTAATTTATTAAAATGAATTATATTGATGCTAATAATTTGTGTTTTTCAAACTTAAGTAAATGTGACAAGTTATATCAAATGCTTAATGAATGAGCTATTTAAGAACAATGTTCCAATATCACTTCTATTTTCTTTGTACTTTGAAGGGTCAAAAAATGTTTACGTGAAAATGAAAAGAAACTTAACCTTCTTATCAGTCTAAAATTACATCTATGAAATTTAGCCCCTATTTGACAACCATTCTTTTCAAACTTTTTTTCCCGTACTCATTTTCAACAACACATTCTCACAATAAAATATACTCCATGTAAACCCAAAACAAATCTCTACTTTTCAACAATACGTTCTCCAAAAATTTACTATTGAAAAACTCATTCTTTAAAAAAAAAAAAACAACAACAATAATAATAAATTCTGTCAAACAGGGATTTAATGAATCATTTTTATCTGAGTTCACAAAAAAAATACTATATTAAATTGAATATGAATTTGATGTACTATGATAAAATTCATAAGAAAGAAGTACAATGGTTGGTGCATTGTATCCACCATAGTTAAAAATAAAAATTAAGAATTTTGAATTAAATTGATTTTTTTTTGGTTCTTAGTAAAATTGAGAACAAATCGGAGTCGACCGATTCTCAATTTTAATATCTAGACCTTATTAGAACTTAAATAGAATCATATCGAACCGATCGATCCCAGTCTGATTCTGATTCGTTCCTATGATTTTGGTAACTTTTTCCCACGGCCATTATTAGTCATGCACAACTATGGAGTTCATATCATTGTCATTGTTTAGCTGTTTTCTTGGTATCTTTCTACAAAATTTTTGACATATCTACCCATCAAATCTTGTTAACCAATGAGATGACACTAACATAACCCACTACAGTATCAATTTTAAAATGGTGTCTTGTTCATTGGTTAACAACCTGTCGTGCCAAGGTCACAAAAATTAAATGAAGAGATAGCTACGGGCACAACATACATCAACTCACAACAACGTGGGTGAGAACCCTATTATCGTGCCAAAATCTTTGATGCTCAGTCTTTTCACTAAATGTGAAATGATAGTGTTAAAATGTATTTTCTCAATCAGTCACTGCCATTACTAGTATTACTTTCGTTGTTGATAATTTTAGTTACTTTTCATTTAGTGCATGTTGAGGACATAAGAACTTAGGTGGATCGTGTGAGCATCCAATCTATCTCCATCTTCGTTTTCGTCTCTACACGTGTAACATGTTGGAAATTTGTATGCAATAAAGCTCCAAGTACAATTTTTTTTTTTGACAGAACTGATACAGAAACTGACGTAACCAAATCTGAATGGCCTGTTTGTTTTTTTTTTTTGCTTTTCCATCTTCCAATGCTGTCATGCCAAATGTGTTTGTCAAAATTTTCTGTCAAAAAAATTTGTACCTATAACACGATTCATTTGTATGTGAAATTGGTTTTGACCAATTCTTAATTATTTAAGTGGAAATTGTTCTTTGGTGAATCAAATCTTGTTAGCCAAGTCTAAATCACTTAAATACATGAATTGTTGAATATTATGGAATATTCTAGAAAATTATTTGGTCGAAAATGTGTGTATCTCTATATGTAAGATTGTGACTTTTGGCATTGTTATTTTCCAATAGGTATGTCTAATTTCAATAGTTGTATCTCTTTCATAAATTGTGTCTTTTGAGACAAATCTTTCCAACAACTATATATAGGTCACATGTATGTTTTGGGAATTTCGACCCAAAGATCACAACTAAATATAAATCGAACCAAACACACTATGCGAAAAAAGGAAAGAACACAAGAAAATTGTTTACCCAATTCGGCCAAGCCTAATATGAGGGGCTCAGAGTTAAAGAGCCCGTCACTATGTGCAAAGAAAACCTTCAAGAGAGAGTGTACGATAGGAGATTAACCAAATCAGACCGTATTTTGGTCATCAATCTAAAGAGATCACGCAAATAACCAACCCTAGCCAACCTTGACTACAAGAACCCTTTCAAAAACTAAGTACAGATTTACCTGCCAATAATCAGGCCTAAAATACTGCACACGGGTTCCACAATTGGCTAATAGCACATTAGGATTATAGATCGAAGATGTGGCCACCCACCACTTTTCACGGTTAGAGAGGCCCTCTTTAATACATTAAGAAAAGATGTTCACAGAGGCCAAAAAGACTCGTTCATGGGAATTTAGACCACCTACATGCTGGTAAACGAAAATCACCTCGGCCGGATCAGAGTATACAACAATGTCGAATCAGGCCGGCCCTTGCCTTGAAAGAATTCACACGCAGTCTGCCGGTCGATAAGAGACAGCTACAGGACGAGAGCTAAGCTCACTAGTTACAGAGGCAAATGTCATGTGGTGAGGGAAATAACCGATTTGATCAAACAGCTATTGGCTGCCTAGTTGTAATTTTCATTCATTCATTTTACATCATTGCATTATCATGTTAATGCATATTCAAAATATAAAGATGGTTCAAAATATTAGTAGGTTTGTTAATTTACGTGATTTGGAGTGCTCCTATTACGGGACGTGGTTGTTATATCTTGAGAGAATAATGTCGAAAAACTGTTAGCTCTTGTGCGGGCTATTATCGTCTTAAAGACAAAGAATTCAACTCATGCCTCGACCAATTCATTTTCATGCATTTCTTGTCGTCACTTTGCTTATTCGGTAAGTCCGAATTCTTCCCTCCTATTTATTCGCAATAAAAAAGATTATTTTGAATAGAAATTATTACACGATAAAATCAATATTTTTCCAACATAACATGGTGCTCAAACTCGTGTGACACAAAGTTAGCATTTACATGCACTTTGTTTTCTTTGAAAGGTAGTCACAACTACTCTTTCATGGCTAGTTCACAATTTCTAGATATGAAAGTTATATATGTGAGTCTTTTTTCTTCAACATCAAGTAAAAAAGGTTACGTCACTATAAACTAATATTGATATTTGAGTTGCATGCTTTGACGATGGTTTTGTATGTACACTCTTGAAACTGTTGTAATGGTCCCATAGATGCTTTATACGCAATCGTTGTGACCTTAAACGTTTAAACCATTTTAAATCGTCAGTTGAGACTGCTAGCGATGAAGGCGAATGGTTGAAAATGAAAATATCCCGAATGAAAGATTTTAAAGACCAATTTGCACAATTTCCGTATATTGAAAACCTACTATGCAATTTACACAATTTCCATCTATTGGATACCTATTAATTACTATGCAATTGGTCCTTTAATGGGCTTTATTGGGGTGTACCCCAACTAGGGGACTACCATCTCAAGCTCTCAGCCATTTTATCTAGTAAAATTCTACAAAAATGCTACTTGTACACACTTGGTACACAACTCTCTCACATGTGTGTGCGGTCAACGATTAGGCCACCAAGATGAGTAAGTGTAGCAATGTTCAAAATTCTAAGCCATATTTATGATTCTTTTCCTAACTCATAATTAATCTTAATTAATGTGAAAGTAAAATTCCAAAACAATTAATTATAATTTTAGGCACTTAATTATCTATATGCATTGGAAGTCTTCGTCTGCTTTATCCAACTTTGTACTCCTTCCAAGAGGGCAAGGATTCTCTACAATGACATTATAGACCACAATGTAGCGCAGCTTGGCAGTGCTCTCAAGGGTAAAAGAACTTCACGGATTTCCAATTCTATCATCCGTACGTATTCTTCTCCTCTGGAACTGGTTGGAAGCAAGGGACTCATTCAGATCGATTCCAATTTTGAAAATAGAGTAATTTCTGTAAAAGTTCAAGGATAAGAATTATTACTTTCTGTTTCTAAAAGTAATTTTGAAATAATTGATAAAGTAAAAGTACGAGGCTGCTGACGGGATAGTTAGAAATGGTCGATCCAACCCGGCCACCATACAAGCGAAGCATAGACTAATGAGAATTTTAGTTCATATCTAACTAATCACAACTTCATCTCTAAACAAGAGAATCTCTAGATATTTCATAGAGTCATAGTACACACGAGTTAAACGGTTAACGGTACAAGGGACGGTACTTTTAGAGTGACTACACACTAGAATCTTATTCTTCCGAACATTATTAAAGAAAATCCATCATCTTATTGTGGTCTATTTACCTTCCATACTACTGACACACAAATTTAATATATTCATGCGAAATTTAGAACCTCTTTGGGCATTCCCAGAAGTGATAAAACTGTAGCACAGATATGTCTTGAAGAGAGTCCTGCTTCTTCAATCTGATCTTTTGGTGCACCATGGTCAATGTATCTATCAGGAAGCACCATTGATCTCAACTGCATATTCGAGTAACAAGTATTCCATTAAAACCTTGCCGAAGATTATATTAAAATAAATACATGTGACTCCTCTCTAACAGTTTAAGCTTTTAGATGGGATGGTTAACATAAAATAACAAATTAAACTTGGCAGAGAATTTTTTATTTACCTTAAGATGTCCATCCAAAATTCCATTTAGGCTAAGAAAATGAGAGACATGGGATCCAAAACCTCCAATTGAACCTTCTTCAACTGTGATTAAGATTTCGTGTTCTTTGGCTAGTCTTCTGATAAGATCAGCATCCAATGGTTTGCAGAATCTTGCATCGGCTATTGTTGGTGATATGTTATGAGATTTTAGCATTTCCGCGGCTCCTAGACATTGCTGGATAATTGAACCGAATCCAAGAATTGCGACTCTATTGCCTTCTCTTAGTATCCTTCCCTTACCAATCTGTTCAATGGTCAATGTTAAACATATGGAAATACTTGCACGTTCTCAATGAAACTCTGATATCTTCTTGATTTCCTAAGATTATTTTTATAGTAGGAAATTCTAGTGCTCACCTCAACTGGTGTTCCTTTGTAATCAGGAGGAAGAACTGCTCCTACGCCATTACCACGTGGAAATCTGAAGCAGCTTGGCCTGTCGTCTATGACTGCTGCTGTCGCAACCATGTGCATAAGTTCTGCTTCGTCTGATGGAGCCATGACTATCATGTTGGGTAGACAAGCCATGTATGCAACGTCAAATGCCCCACAATGGGTCGGTCCATCTGCACCAACTAAACCAGCTCGATCCATTGCAAACCGGACAGGTAATTTTTGAAGATCGACATCATGTACCACCTATATGCACATTGAAATAGTTAAATTTTGAATGTAAAAACTCTCTATTTATGAAAATTGTGCACGTGTCACACATAATGAATCCGCCCTTCATGTGAGGGGACTGACAAACTAAGGTGGTCGAACGAGCTGTTTCTCACCTGGTCATAACCTCGTTGTAGAAAGGATGAATAGATGGCACAGAATGGCTTGAGACCCTCTGTGGCTAAACCGGCTGCAAATGTAACAGCATGCTGTTCTGCAATACCTACATCAAAACACCGTTCGGGAAATCTCTTCTGGAAATAATTTAGACCAGTTCCACCACCCATTGCAGCATGAATGGCCACAATCCTATTATCTACTTCAGCTTCTTTTATCAATGACTCCGCAAAATATTGAGTATACGTAAGTGTAGGAGTTTTCGCCTTCATCTGCTTTCCTGTCATCGGATCAAACTTCACGACCCCTGTAAAAATGTGGAGACAATAATGCGTTTATTATTCTGCAAAACCAAACTTAGTCGGATTATTTGTTTCTTTCATCAAGATTCATTATAATCTCACCGTGCATTCTATCAGCTGCTGCCTCGGCCGGGGCATAGCCTTTTCCCTTCTCTGTTATAATATGAATTAGAACTGGCCCTGGTGCTGGCATTGTCTTTACTTTTTGGAATATAGTAACAAGATCATCGATATTATGCCCATCCACTGGACCAATGTAATACAATCCGAGCTCCTCAAAGAAAGTAGAACCGGAAGAGCTTATCATACCCCTTGCATACTCATCAACTTTGGCTGCGACTTCATGTGCTTGTGGTCCGATTTGCTTTGTAATGCTCTGTTAAGACATGAAAGTTCCATTAGATCTCTCTTGAATTTAACAGTTTGATAGAGAAGCTATTAATGAAGATAGATTTACTTTTGCAGCTTCTCGAAGTTGTCTAAACTTAGGACTCGCTTGTAGCTTGCTTAAAGCTCGACTGAGAGCGCCAACAGGTGTGGCCGGACCATCAAGTGTAGCAGTGGGCAATGAAACTTGCTTGTTGTCATTCAGTACAACAATAAGATTAGTGTCAAGAAATCCCGCGTTGTTCATCGCCTCGTATGCCTGTCCTGCAGTCATAGCTCCGTCTCCAATAACAGAAACGACACTATTGTCCTTCCCCAACAAATCTCTTGCCACCGCCATGCCTACCAACGTAAAATTTAAACAATCATCTCCATAATATGTTAAAAGGGTAAAATCTCACCTCAAATAAAGATGAAAACATTAACCTACGTATAAGGGTTTGGATTACTCCTCTTATCATGATTCACATTTTAAGATGGAATACAAGTCTCAGTTTGGTGTTCTCATTAAATCAAACTAGCTATTCAGTCCTTCTAGAGCTCAAAGGAGCATTCAGATTCCAAAATAGGCGTGCTCAAACAAACAACCATCTTGCAGGGCATTATTAAGGTTCGTATCCCATATCGAATAAAGAGAAACCAAGTCTTAATACGTTACACCTTGTATGCAACCATGGGATTTACATTTAGTGCACATTGGACATAGTATTAAAAAACTTATAACTTTTTTAATACTGTCCAGTGCTACCGACCAAGTCATTAGCAAAAGTATGGAGAATTTCTAATTTCGAAGCATCAATGAAAATTTACCCAGTCCAGCTGAGATGCTTGTTGAACTATGGCCTGCACCAAAAGCATCATAGACACTCTCCTCTCTTTTGGGGAAGCCTGCTAGCCCAGAAGTCTTCCTAATTGTGTGCATTTTAGACCTCCTTCCAGTGAGAATTTTGTGCCCATAAGCCTGCAATTTTATTGTAGTATTTCACAACCTTTTGTAAGTTACCAGAGAATTCACAACATGATACAAAAGCATAAAGATCCTTGTACAGAAAAACCAAATTTGTCAATCGAGTTCGGGTTCAACTGACATAATTAACCTACACGAGGGGCGTGTTGAAAAGATACTAACAACTTAAACTTTTAGATAAGATGATTCAACGCTACTTCTCAACATTTCATTCTAGTCGTGTTTAGCCTTAAAAATTAAAAATTTACCTGATGGCCAACATCCCAGATAATTTTATCTTCAGGAGCATTGAAAACATGGTGCAGAGCCACAGTCAATTCCACAACTCCCAAGCTTGAACTTAGATGTCCTCCTGTCTTTGATACAGTATGTACAATCTCTGCTCTAAGTTCTGAAGCCAATATTTCCAGATCCTGGTCACAAATGGAACCAAAAACCTTTCAGCCCAGAGGCAAATCTGGAGTTCCGAATCCAAAGGCACCCCGGGGTCAAATAAAATGAAGAGAAAAATACTCATTCTCCGGGTGAGCTTATAGAACAATAAAAGTGCCAGAAACAGATGATGCATGCAAGTTTGTGGGATCCCGAGGTGCAAAGGCACCAGGGCCAAATAAAGTGAAAGAAAGACTCATTCTTCGAACGAGCTAATGATAAAATATTAAGTGTCACAAATGCACAAAAAACTAACGGTACATCATATTGAAATACCTTGACAGAAAGATTCTTCATATGAACTGGATAATTAATAGTGTCGAGTATCGGTGTAGGCGGCATTCCACCCGAGAAATCTGGCTTCCAACCATCTTTTTCTTTCCTCATTATGATATTTCCTTCCTCAGCTTCTGTACTACCAGCAGACGCTTTCACACATAACTGGAACAATATCCAGCCGTTAAAAGGGTAAATCCCACATCGAATAACAATAGACAATATATAAAGTCTCTAAAACTAAATGCAGAAGCATCATTAAGCATATATATGAAAGACTCTAGAACTACACACTGAGCCTCGGGAATTCCCAATAAATCTAGAGTCGACTACATGTCATAAAATTTGACAAAATTTTACTCTACCCGCGACCCTCGTCCTTTACTCGGGTTTGAGACCAGCTATGGACTAAACCACACACCATAAACATAAAAATATATACAAGAATATTAAGAACAGCAAGTAACCTGTTTTCTTCCACCACAGTTGAACTTCTGGGGTGTCAAATATTGAAGTGTGGGATGATTTACCCTAATGACAAGTCCTGAAACTGCCATTTTTTATCAAATTAGTTAACTTAGTGCAGAGAGAATGGCTCTCGTCTCTCGTAGAAAGAGAGGTTGACAATATGAAGGATATTTATAATAGGAGAAGGGGAGAAGAAGTTCTTATGATTTATAATACATAAAAATAATACATATTTCCCACGAGGTTGTCGGTATTATTTAGTCGACAGAACCGGTTACTGTACCATTTTGTTATTTAGTCAAAATCAATAATGAATTTTAACTATATGTTTCATTGGATTCATAACTTTTCAACTATACACTTTATCAACTTTTATCAAAATTTACTAAAGATCTGATTTTAATTTCCAACAAACCTGGACATAATTAAGTTTTAATATATCGTGGTGACTATCATCTACTCGAGTTTAATCGAGTGTATAAATGACTTCGAAACCTCTCATCGTGAGCTTGAAGATTATTATTTTTTTTTTTTCACGTGGAGGGTCTCAATTTCAAATAATAGACAAATTTATGTATTTACATTTTGTCTCGATACAGTAATTTGCCGAAGTAGAATAAAAATATGGTTTGTGGTCCAAAGGGCCTCCTTTAATTTACATTCATATAGACTCAAACTCGACATGTGATTTATTTAAAAGTACAACATGGACAAGTCACTTTAATCCCTTGTTTGATGGTCATTGTAAAGAGAAATTGAAGGAAAATAATGTTTTGAATAGTAATTTATTAGAGAATTTGTAGTTAAAATGTAGGGAAATTATGTTTACGTATAGAATATTTTATTAAAAACTGAGTATGAGAAATAAATAGTTTTAATTTAAAGAAAGTCAAATCGGAGCTAAGTTTCTAAAATTTTTAAGTTGGATACTTCTGTTTGGTCCACATTATTTTTTTCATTCTCATTCTTCTACTCATTTTCAACCACATATTTCCAATCACATCAATAACTTTTCCTTCTTTTTCAACCATATATTTCCTATCACATCAACAGTAAAAATGCATTCTTACCTTCAAAATATGCACCAAACGGGACTTTATTTTTATATTTTTAAAACAGAACATTATTAAGCCCGTCTTTGATTTAGCTAGAAATTGGGATTAAAATTTAAGTTAAAGTCAATAATTAATTTTAATACTATATTATATGGGATCCACAATTTTTCACCACATTTCACCATTTTTTATCAAAATCTACTAAAAAGTATCTGTCGAACATTTAGAATTTTATTACGACGGTATATTCATGTTTGGCACGTATCTATTGTGGTATGTGAGGCACGATATTCCTCAAATACCATTATACGTGTCTGAGAAACCACATGTCATGTCCTATTTTTATACATATTCTTAGGAGTGTCCGTGCATCATAAAACCTCCATGTGAGTGTAACACACTAATACTTCATACAGAAGTATAGATACTAATAATTGAGCGAGGGACAACCATATATCTTTGCCTGCACGTTAACTATTTCAATTCTTGAAGGTTTTGTAGTACGAAGTTTCTTAATGCAATTAAGCAAGGTGGGCCCACCTAATTAATTAACATTGATTTTAAAAGAAAATAAGTA